TTGCCAAATCATCTTTGAAATTCGTTTGTGAATTATTAGTTATAAAACCGTAATTTTCAAGTCTCTTAGACATTAAATAAAGGTAATAACTTATCGTGTTTAAAACCTTTTGTGTGACCTGATCACTACTAAGACTTGCATCTTGATTAAAATCTTCTGAAAGTATATCTTTGTATTTTAGCCATAATTCGTTGGGGTTTTTAGGGTCACAAAATACAAGGACAGATGCAAATAACCGTCTTAAAGCTGCAGGCATTAAATAGGCTGTAGCTTCTTGAATACACCTGTCACTTGTATTATCTTCTTTCATTAATCCTAGAGTGTATGCTGCTTCTCCAAATGTGCCAAAAGTTTTCCCATTAATTGTTCTTAAATTTGTAAAAGAAGTTGGTCCTCTAATGTATTGTAGTAATAACTTGAGATAAAATCTTTCACCTTCAGAAGGATGACAAGGTAAAATGCGGCCAATCACATCACGTTATTTACGTGGCTGCCATTTTTTTGAACTTTTACACCAAACAAAAAATTCTGGAAACTCTATGTAGAGATAGTTTTTTTCCTTAGAATAACTGTTATGTTCATTCATGGCAAAAAATTCAGTTAACATGGTCACCTTCAATGTAGGATTGCTAGTAATGTTCCTTAGGGATTGATGGCAGGAAATATAACTGATTGTTGATTCTCTAAATGAACTGGTAATGGTATTACAGAAGGATATACATGATTAAGATCAAATTTAAAAATGCACCAAACTGCTTCAGGTGCTAAAATCCATCTTGCTTTTACAAAGTCTTTTATTTCATTAATGGTAATTTCTTCGTCATTTGGTGCCAAGGCATAGATAATTCTATCATGTCCTTTGTATATATACTTATAAATATATTTTATGGCCAGAATAGTTGAACATACCTCAACGTTTATATGACAATCAAATTTGGCTAATAAATAAGCATTGTAAGGTACAACCCAACCATTATCAAGTTGTGCACCTCTAATGTTAACATAACGACCATTATTTCTGCGACGATAGATTGGATAATAATCGATACCAAATCCAGTAGCTTCTGAAAATTGTTTAGGGTACTTAAACTTACATCCTATCCCTTCTTTCATGCAAGGACATGTTTTATTAAGTTCGCCACAAGGGCCATGCATCATGTGGTTTTTTACCAAATCAAATAAATATTTATTGTTTTTTGGGTCAGGAATCTCAGCACAAACAATTCTGTCAATTGCTTCTGAGGAATATATTTTTGATGATTGATTAAGAATAAGTAAAAAATGAGCATGAGGTAAACCCCTCTTTTGATACTCTATGACGTATGTGTAAGCAACAATATCACCAAAAATTTTCTTCCTGAATAATTCTTTTTTCAAGACAGCAAGCTTTGCTTTAACTATTAAATCAGGTCTATTTTGTGTCTCATCAATAGGTAAACATAAAGCTTTAATTTCACGCCAGTTTGGATTACAAGTTATTGTAAAGAAAATATCTGGTTTTTCATAACGCTGAACTAAAGCAATAGCATCCATGTATCTTTTACGCATATCTCTTGGTCCTCCAATGAAAAAAGTTGGTAATATTACACGTTTACCTACACCAGTACCTGTTTTACATCCTTGTGTCATACTATCAAATAAATTACAGTATACTTCATTACGCAAATGAGTTTGCATTTCATCGTTCTCTAGAAAATTCAATCTTGATGTTTCAATTTTAATGTACATATCTATAACATATTGTTGTAAGAGCCTACCAATATGTAATAGAAAAGATTCATCATTGTCTCTAATTTGTAATTTATAACAGTAATATTCACGACCGGAAACATTTTTTCTTTTCCTTTTTTTATTCATTGAACGTTCATCTTCAACCTGTAGGAAATTTTCAAGGTTTGTGAAATTTTCAATATCATAAAAGCCTTCACCATTACATATTTCATTAGCACTCGATGATGTTTTGTTTGGGTTCAACCGAGAAATGTTTCTGTGCCAACCAGGGTCTCCGTAAGGAAAAATAAGAGGGTATTGTAATGGGTCGTAACAGCCAAAATAGTAACTAATAATTTCAGGCCTACTATCTTTTTCTTTTGGGTAAATTTGAATATGCTGACTTGCAAGCAGTGGTTCTTCATTAGGTTCTAACCATATTCCGGCAACTTGAGATGAAGTGGGTTTATTAAAAACACGTTCATCCAAAAGTGGGTCTGTTTTTAAAACAATTCTAGCTCCATCAAGGTTACTACCACTAAGGTTTCGCAAGAAAAAAGCATAAGGGTTATCGTTCGAAATCGAAAGAAGCGTTCTTATAACAGACTCTCTGAATTTGCCATCAATAGACAAACGATTTGAAACCTCATGTTCTGTATCGTAAAAGTAAAGTTGAAGATTTTCAAGCTTTTGACCGTTTGGTGGTTCTAAGTGAGGCATAAAATGGTAAAGCTGCCCTTGAACTCGAACTGTGTAAATACCATGATCCCTTTTTGCCAAATTTTTATCAGAACATGCTCCAAAAGATGTGAATGCGAACATGTTATTATAACTACGAATACAATCCTGAAAATGCGTCACATCTTTGGAATCACCTAAGTATAAATTTAGTAATTCAGGATGCATTTTAGTACCCGTCAATTTTATTTCTCCCGAAAAGCAACAAAATCCAGGTGGTTCTGAATAAATACGTCTAGCATTACAATATTTGCAGTTTGCTTCATTAGGCAACAGGTCAGGACAAACAGCTATAGATTCTAAAGGGTCAACAGTAGAATTAAGTTTTGGAGTCCTATTAAGCGAAAGTGACTGCCTACTGCTTCGTGACAAAACCTTATCAGCAGAAGCAAATTTTTTGCTCTTTTTTACCTGTTGATGTGTTACATGTGCACATTTTTCCACAGAGGAGTATTTTCGTTTGTTCGATTTTGAGGACTCTCCTATTTCTATTGAAGCTGGAACATTTTGGACCTGTTTAGGTAAGGGTTTTTTGGCATTTTTTTCCTTCAACAGGTGACTATGCAGTGAGTTAATGCTGGGATTCGATTCTGGAATCTTAATTAGGGAACTTGGCTTTGTACATTTTTTTGTTTCAACCTTATTAACATAGGCTAATTCTCTATTCTTTCTTAATTGTTCATTTCTCACATGCCTACGTTCTTCCAGAGAAGAGTATTTTTTTTTACGTGATGTTGAAGGTTTCCCTATGTCCATTAAAGGTGAAATATTTTGAACCCTTTTACGCGGCATTTTCTAAAGAGACTATTTCACAATAGAGAGATAAACAATATCACTACAAAGTAAAAGAAGCACTAAATTTATAATCTAAGAAAAAAGCAAAATGAGCGACAATTGTAACATTAAATCAAACAATGTAAAGGAAACTAAAGAGATTATTTCACAACACAGAAATAAACTATATTGCGACACAGTAAAAGAAGCACTAAATTTACAATCCAAGAAACAAGCAAAATGAGCAACAATTGTAACACCAAGTCGAGCAATGTAAAGAAAATCGCGAAAACAAATTTAAACTAAAATAGTGTACCTCATTGCAGCTAACGCAGTCGAAGTTGACATTTGTAGGAACCAATGCAATGCACCATTTAAAGCTAACAATCCAAGACAAAGAGTACTCCCAAAACTACCAAAACATTTCAAATAATAATATAAGTTAGGTAGCTATTAGATTAAGAGTAACCTCAATATTAGACAGGGCAAACCCACAACTCTACATAGTGCATAGGAGTTTTTCTATTATAAACATTGGGTAGTTTAACATGCTAATTATATGTGAAAAATCCGCTAATTCAAAAATTGTACTCCAATTTTGAGTAGGTAATCAAGCAATGAAAAAGACAAAGGAAAAGGTTTCTATAGAAAAGGGTTCATCCAACATCAAAAATTGTAGGCAACAGATTTAGCATAAAAAAAGATAGAATGAATTTGCAGCATTCAATTAAACGGTGCTCTAATGCCTTTCAATATATGTAAATGCTCAATAAAACAATCATGTAAGCCAATGAAATCTACATATATTAATTTCTAAATCAATCTGCATGCCATTTCTTAGGGGCAAAACAACGAACACGTGATGCGCAACTTCAATTGAAACAAATTTTCGGGAAAAAAAATGCAACCAATCTTTTTTGATGCAAGAATACAAACCTAAATTTGGGGCAATTTTCTTCTGGGAATAATTCCTGCACCGCCCTTTTTTCCCGAGGAATTGTTGCCGCACTGCAAAAAATTCAACGAAGGAAACCGGAGTTGGCCGTGAGAATTTGATGACCAAAGCAAGTTTTCTCCCGGTGTAAAATTTGGGGCTACCCAAGTTTGGATGAAATACGAATCTGCTGCAATATATTGAACAACAGGAAGCTAAAGTGGGGAGCAAAGGAATCAAAACGCACAAATTAATCTTAATACAAAGTGATAAGAAGTGAAAAACAAGACGGAAATACTAACCAAAGGAGAATAAAAGTTCTAATTCTACAAGAGTGTTCAAACAAACAAACTCTAGGAAATCATTTTGCTCTCTGATTTATGTAAGATACCCATCACTTAAATGAATTAAAAGCACCCAAAAACCGAAGAAGAAACAACCCCAACCAATCCTAGCTCGTCCGGATGTAGTCTATCGGTTTCAATTAGACTTTCATAGAAGATTAGCATGTTACCTTGATGGAATCGAAGCTGTAAACACCGCCGCTCCTTCGAATTGAATCCTAAATTATCTAGCTAAATTCCCACAAGGTATGCTAAAAGGATTGTTGGTTTGCCCATATGTGGATCCGGGATTTAAGTTTTGCCCAGAAAACGATCCGAATCCCATATTCGGCAACCGATGGAAACCTGTCGGTCAGAGGGATTAGAAGAAAAAAAAAAAAAAAACAAATGATGCTCCATTGAATGGCCGTGCAGCGCCACGTGTGCGGGAGTGACCGCGCACCGTACCTAAACAGGTGCATGCCCGGTGACCAACCCCTCCAAAACTCCCCCTTTATATACTTTAGATATAGCTTTCCGGAATTACAAAAAGAAAATAAAGTAAGCGGACATTTTGTATTTTAGGTACCAAAAATAATGAGTTTTTTAATACAAGGACTAATCCGGTAATTTAATTTTAATATAGAAAAATGAAATTGCTTTAGGGGCCACAGCAATTCGCCTCTATTTCAGTGAAGTCCTTCCCAATTTCACATTCCGCTTCTATTATTTTTAATTTTTTTTTAGTGAGAGAAAGTCGTGCGCCCCTTTTGAGCCAAACCCATCTCCACTTTCTCTCTCTACAAAAGCCCTTCCTCCACTCCCCGAGTTAGCGTAAGCTCTGCGACCCAAGCCAACTCATTCCCCCCAGTCTTCATCGAATCCAATCCAATCCAATGGCTAATAGCAATTTACCTCGTAGAATTATCAAGGTTAATTTCTTGATCTCCCTGTTTCTTTTTCGTTTTCTTTTCGATCCTTTGGTCGATTTACTCATTTACCCGATGTGATCATTTAGTTTCGTTTTACCAATTTTAGGGTTTCTGTGAACTTGTTGGTTTTGATCGTTTATTTAACTTGTAATATTTGATCTTTCTGATACTTGTTTGTTTCCCGTCATGCAACAGGAAACTCAGCGTCTTCTGAGCGAACCCGGTAAGCGAAGTTTGCTTTCTCATGTTCTGTTTGATAACCGAGTTGAAACTTAGTCTATGTATCTGCGCATTTTATTTTATGTTACCTCTAATCAAATTGATGCTCTTCATGTTGAGAATTAGCATTTTTTGTTATTTTTAGGTTGATGATGCTTTGAACTAGATTTAGAACTTTGTTCTGAGGATAATAATACTGTTATAATTTTCTTTTATCATCATTGTGAAGTTCATTTTATGATTTTCTGTTGGTTATTTTGTGGTGGGTTGGATTCGGAAAGGAATTTGTCTTAAGCAGAGGTGTTTGTTGAAGGGAAAAAGTAGTTTAGAGGTATCCATTTTTTTGCCAAGTATTAAACTAAGTGGGTTGGGAGAGATTTATGGTGTGCTTCTCTGTGTGGGGTACTAGTAAGGGCGTTTGAATCGAATGTATCACAGGAATTATAATTCTTTTTATGCCTTGTTTTCTTTTGTTTTCCATGAACTATGATAGTGAGGTATGATCTATCCATGTTTAGTGAAGAGCTTTGTCTTTAATAACGTGGGTTGAAAGGCTATTGAGCTTTAGCTTTTGGAGAAAATATTTCTTTGTAAGCTGCTTTGCTGATCCTGTGCTGGTTTTACACTTGTCTTTTTTCAATTTCTACTCATTGAGATGCTCTGATTTGTGATGCTGAGGAATTTCATTTTGGCTTGTGGATGCAGCTCCGGGGATAAGTGCGTCTCCCTCTGAGGAAAATATGCGTTACTTTAATGTCATGATTCTTGGTCCAACCCAATCTCCTTATGAAGGTAGTGCGCTGGTTCCAATTTATACTTTTGAAATGTGTTGTTTTTATATATTGTATATGAAGTTTGGAATAAACAGCTGATCGTGTCTGTTGCCTTTCGGTTCTTATCTGACTTATTATACGCTTCTCTCATACTCCAATTTTTGCATTGTGTTATCTGTTTGTTAGTGCTACTTGCAAATTTTTACTTGACAACCGATCCAACTTTTTGGCCTTTTTTTAAAAAATAAAAAATAAATAGAAGTGATAGATGTTTCCATCACTTCTAAATTTTTCTCAAATGTTTTCATTTTTATTGAACACTCATTATTTTTGAGTAAGTTGGTTTTTATTGCTTGAGATGCCTCGTCTCAATTATTATCGTGGTTAACATTTTCTTAGGGTGAGGCAGTGTAATACAATTAACTTGTAGGACACTGAAAATGACTCTTCTTTGTTTAAGCCATCTTATAACTCAAAATAGTGATTCTAAATTGTTCAGCATTATATTATGAATCCTTCTTTTGAAAAGGAACATCCTCAGTGTGCAGTTACTGAAAACTCATGCCGTTCTTTTTCCCAAAGGAGGGGGATCCTAACCTTCCAATCACTTGTGTTTGAAGCTGCCCTGGATTGATCCATCCTTTGCTGGATTAATTCCAGCATGTTTATAACGACTTATTCCATTAGTCTTGATTTTATCCACTTATCTAGCTGAGGGGTGGCAATTTTCGCTGTAAAATGAGAGCGAGAAAGATTAGCTGAATGATTATACTTGCCAGAGTACTTTTACATGTTTCCAACTCAGTGCAAACCTTTCTTCATATCAAGTTTGTTTGATATTCTCGCCTAGTTTGCTGTAAAAGATTAAACTTTTACATGTTTAAATTTCCCAAAAGCTTCTTATGTAAATTTGCTTAAATCTTTCCTTAGCCTCAATGTGCACTTTGTTTTGGTTACTTACAAAAGAACATTTCGCTGCAGGAGGTGTATTCAAGCTGGAACTGTTTTTACCAGAAGAATATCCCATGGCAGCTCCAAAGGTATTTCCTATCATATATATAACTGTTGTATTAACTGGTGCATGTGACTGACTAGAAATATTTCGGTCTTGGATGAGCATGAATTCTTCAATCTAGGTCTCTTTCGCTTACTGAGGTTTCATTTGTGCTGATTGATGATTTAACTCTGCATTATATTGTGAATCTTTTAGTAATGGCGATAAAGCAGTTCCATTCTTGACATTTGATTTGGTTTCTTGTTAGTTCTTTGATGCATGAGAACATGTCTTGTTCACTTGTTTGGTGAATGCTAGAGCAATAATGAAAATAAAAAAGTTTATCCTGTTAAGTGCTGATCCTCGGAGATTGGGTTTCAATTAAGCGCTCTTTTAAAAGTAAAAATATATTGTTAATTGACTGTTCATCTTAGTAATTTTACTGATCCTGTTCCTTGGATTTTGGTAATCATATTTATTACCGCCTTAGAGTTATGCGTCTTGCTTTGCATTTTTCGTTTTTTATTTTGGCGATGTGTTTGGTCGATTACTTGGATCGTTATTCACTAGACATTGTGGACCCTGGTGTACATACTTCACCCCTTGAAGTACTAGTTCTGAAATACTGAACAATCCTTCAGTCATTTGTTATTTTGTATAGCTGCACTGCTACAAATGACAAGGATGTGGTCTTTGTATATTGTGTCAAAAGTGATGCTATTGCGTGTTTTTTGTAACTTATTTGCTGCTGCGGTTTACTCTGGAGTTTGTTCTGATGCATGGTGTTTGTTTGGATTCTTTCTGCTATAGCTCATGGAAAACCTTGTGCAAATAAATGCTATATTAGAGGGCTTCCCGCATTTTGCTTGGCCGTGCACATTTTGATTGGATATCTACATTATTATTGCACAATGATTGAAACTTTGGGCTTTACAAATAAGTTTTACCTGTGTTTTACTCGGAGCTGTTTACTGTATCAAGAATTCATTTAAGTAAATTGATGTATCTTGTACATCTACATTTGGCATTTGAAACATTATAATCAACTTATTACAAAAAAAGATAGTCTAAGTTGCTGTGACAGACTGAGGAAGTGGATTGAAAGTTTATTACCTGATATTGCATGTGTTTCATTGCTGGTACAATCGCTTAGTTTTGTGATCTTTGGCTTCTTTATGCTAAATAGAAGTTTCTTAAGGATGCTTCTGAAATCGATTGTGTTTTCTTTCTGGACTGAAGAAGTCTGCTTGTATTAAATCTTTTTTGAGGCATCTGACTCATCTACTCTTCTCTGCGTGTATCTTTTAATAGGTCCGATTCCTGACCAAAATATACCATCCTAACATTGATAAGGTTAGTTTTATGACACATCCAATACTTGAATTTTATAGGCTCAAAAAAGTCTTCCCTTACAGGGTAAACTTTTACTTGTAGCTTGGAAGGATATGCCTTGATATTCTTAAAGACAAGTGGAGTCCTGCTCTTCAGATCCGAACTGTACTTTTAAGGTAATCCAGTTCCTTTATTACTATTGTTCTAAGTTGTTTCGTCAAGCAGCTTTTGGTTCCTGGTGAAATTTTCAACTATCAACTGCACAGTGACTTCTGTTTGCTTAACATATGAATTGCTGAAAATTTGTTGAAGTTGGAGATCGAGTGTTGAAACTTTACCTTCTTGTAGTCAATGTAATTGTTGTGTTGGGGACTGCACTTACGTCATTTTACTTATTGTCTCCTAGCATTCAAGCACTATTGAGTGCCCCAAACCCTGATGATCCTCTCTCAGAGAACATTGCAAAGCACTGGAAATCTAACGAGGCTGAGGCTGTTGAAACAGGTAGAAACTCTACACCTTTGGGCCTCTTTTTTTTTGGTTTGTACTTGATTCTTCGTTCCTTTATCTTAATTTTGAGGAGGTTGAATTATGACCAGTTTACTGAAGGCTTTTGATATGGTTGACTGCAGCCAAAGAATGGACGCGTCTTTATGCAAGTGGCGCCTGAAGACCTAAACTCAGTGCTCGTGAAAATAACTTGTGCAATGTATTCTATTGACTGAGTAATTCAATGTGGAATCTGGAAACAAAAAGATAATTCTTAATGGGGGAATTACTGCTCTAAAGAGTTTCCAGTTACTATGTTATAATTGTTTTCTTGTCACGAACGTGGTTCAAACTGTATAATTAAATGAAATGCACCTGGTTCCTTGTGTTTCCAATTCTTCTTTTTTATGCATTGGATCAAAGCAGGAGTATATACAGTTATCAAAATCCTACGTGGCCGATCTCTAAGCTGACTCAGTTTAGTCGGTTAATGTGTTCCTACTTGATCATTCTCCAGTGAAATTGAGCATTCTAGCTTCGCTTTGCTATGGAAGAATATAGTGAGAAGATTTCTCTCGGTCTGGTAGCAGAACAAACCAGGATTATGTAAAGACTGAAAATCAATGGAAATATTTACTAACACGTTGGAAATGAATTTTGAAGCCAATCCGTGGAACAAGGGAACAAATTTCAAGCGAATGAATCAATGCAGAGGACTAAGTTTTTTTCATCGATGAAAATGCTCCAGTGAGGATCTGTCTTTCTGAAGAAATAATATGTGAAGGCATTAAGATGACTTTGTTCAAATATACTAGCTAGATTGCATATTAATCAAACTGATGAGTAATCAAGAAGGGATCAATGGCAGAGAAAGGAGGAGGCATTGTGAAGAAGGGACGTGAAGAACACCGATTACATGTGGATTGTTCAACAAAAGAAAGTCGAACACGAGTTGGAAGAAAAAGGGCAAACTTGTGAGCTATGATACCAAATCCATGGAGAAGAAGAGGATTAAGAAACTCAAGGGTGTTAAGGGTAAGGAACTAATGCATTGGCCTCCAGTTAGTGAGATGAGATCCTCCTACTGGAAAAATCCATTTCAAGAGCTTGGCTTGGCATCACCAAAACTTTCGGTGTTGATGATTTTGGCGTTTCGGAGATCGTTGCTGCTTCTATGTATGGCTAAAACATATTTAGCATGTCAAGTAGTTCTCTTTCCTAAATCAGGCTTGCCTGTATTGAACTTGAATCGTTACAAGATCGTTTAACCTAATTTGTTTATATCCCTAAGAGCCAATGCAACGCATGTTTGGCAACCCATTGATTTCAAGATCTTCTCTTCACTTTACATTTTACCATTTTATGCAAGGTAAGTTTCAGTTACTGGCATTTCTGAGTTCAACAAATTTGATTTTCTAGCTTTTGGGATGAATTGAGGCCAATGAATTAAGAACCCAAACAAACTCCCAAAATGCCTACCCAATCCAAGATGCAATTATTCCATTGTGCCTTAGTCGGTCCACCAATAGGCCACAGATGTCGGTCAATTCCCAATAGGTTAGGTTTGTGTGAAATAAGTGACCGATTAAATGAGTCAACTTCTGCAAAAATTGTTTTTGAGGTTGGAAATTCATTTTACAGCTAATTGTGGGGGAAAAGGGGGTATTGGACGGTTGCATACCTTTGACTAAACATACTAAAAGCTAACTGTTGAAACCCTTTTAAAAACCCTAGAGGCATAAACCCTAGACAAAAAAGGGGGGAAAAAACTTAAATTAAGGGGATATTGAATTTAATGTCTCACTCTCACACAATGGCAAAATTTGCAAAATGCTCCAATCATCAATCACCCAAAGTTAATAATAATAATCCAACCCAACCACCAAATCTTGGAATGGACCCTTTTGTATTTTGCAAATTACCCACTTTTACCACACATCACAGTCAATCAAATCCCTTTTGTACCTTTTTAATCTTCTTTTTTAAAACAAAAAGAAGATGGTTGATGAGTTCTTTTCAGTGCCAGAAATGAATAAATCATACCACATTGTACCAACGTAAGAGCCAAATATCTTTTGGTTTATTTAGTGTAGAGATTATTACTCTTGCTAATTGTTTCTTTCTTTACTTTTTACTTTTTTTATAAAAAAAAATGCATAGAGAAAAGATAACCGACAAATCCAAACTCATAAACTCATGCTGCAAAAATACTGAAATCACTGATTACCGACAAACTAAAGCCTGCTGAACCCATCTGGGATTTTTATTTATTTATTTTTTATTATTATTGGAAAATAGTTGACAACGTAACGGCTATAATTTCTGCAGAATTATTGAAAGAAAGTGAAATGTTTCTGGTATATATCTTCTTCATATCATGGTGACAAAAAAAAAATAAAAATGAAGATAAAAATGAAGATGAAATGATACACATGATTCCAACTCATCAATCAGAATTCTTCAGGGGACCGATCACTGATCATCAGTGTATAGAAATTACGTACTCCGTACGGTTGTACTGTAACAAAAGAGGGACCTTTTTTTTTTTTTTTAAGAAAATATTTTTCTTTTCCTGATAAACTGTGTAATAATATGTCAATGTTTAGATGTCATTATTAAGGTTGTCTTGTTTTAGAAGGATCCCTCTGAATAATTATTCGTTCAATTTTTTTATGCCACTTAAATGGCCAGAAGAAACACAAATCCCAATTCATGTCTGCTTTTCTGCACCTCATTCTGATTGGTTAATTCCCACTAAACTAAATTGATCAAACAATTCATCATTTTTTTTAGTTTTTAGGATAATAATTAATACCCATAACATAATGCCTCCATATCCATTTTCCAGGTCACATCATTTTAACCATAATTATCAGATCATGGTTCTACCATCTTACTCAAATGTAGGCCTTCATTCCTTCCTCTTTTGCATGGATAGGGATGCCTCATCAACCTATCAATTTCTACCCTTTTCCTCTTCATCCTAAAACCGGGGCAGCCCACTAGGGTAATTTGTTCTATTTCGTCTCAAAATGATTGTGAAAAAAATAAAAAAAATTAAATAAAATTTATTTCTTTGTAAAATCATGCTGACATGTAATGATAATTTTCAATTGTGGGCTGGCTGGAACCTAAAAATTGTGAGATTGTGTAAGGCCCTTGTGAGTAATGATTTGAACCAACCAACCAATTTGGGAAAACCAAAAAACACCTAAAATTCGGTCATATAATGCGTTTTTCTCTTTAGTGTTCATGGGAATAGTACGATGGCTTGTTGCTGTGTTGGACCATACATACACATAATATAATAATACTACATATAATAATAAATGCATACGCATTTGATTCTATTCATAAACAAAACCAATCATTTTTAGGGTGGGCAAGGTAACTTATTCAACCCCTTTTGTACAAAACAACACAAGAACTTGTGGGGTTTTATTATATGCAGTACTATATGGCGGAAGCGGTTTTTTTGTTGATTGAGTCAAAAAGGTTTTGAAAAGAGGAATAAATAAAAGAAGTCGACAATGCTAAAAAGTTGGAAAATAAAGTTTACTAGTCGTTTTCCTTTCATTGTTGATAGAAAGATAACACTAATTATAAATAGATGAATTGTGAAATGTATTATTGTTCGTGCATATTCTCTTGCTTGTCACGCACCAAAGATGGGAAAAATGATAGTTAATGGAGAGTGAGAGCTGCTAGTAAAGCTACCTAAAAGACAGAAATGGAAGTCTACCCTCCCACCACTACCAACAAGAACCCAAAAATCAACAACAAGAGAAATTCTCATTCATTCATTGTTCAATCCCGACGTTTCTATTTTGATTTCTACAATCAATCAGTCAAAGTGATGAAATAAATGGGAGAAAAAAAAAAAGAGGCTAAACCAAAGAAAGGGGGTGACTGAATTCATTGCGCAAAAGGTACATATATAAGTCGTTTTCACCTGACACATAAACAATTTATTATTTAAAATAAATAAATAAATAAATAAGAAGAAGAAGAAGATGGCCAATTTTGTCCATCATACATTCATTCAATGGCCTCAATTTTCTTCTTTTTTTTTTATTTTTCAATTTTAGTTCATCACCCCACCGACTGATAAGTCGCAAGACAAATTCCCTAAGCAATGGGGACTGTTTGGAAGGTAGCCAACTTAAATGATTACATGTGACTTTTTTACAATCACAAAAGGTGGTAGAAAAATATAATCAAAGTAACCCTCCACACAAGGGCAAACGGCCCCTCTCATTAATGACAAATTAAAAGTCATCCACCTCCACAGTTAATTATTACTAATAATAATAGTATTTGTTAAGAAAATAGTGGTAATGGGCAAAGACAGGAACATCTTAATTCATCTGTGTCACAATTTGAGTCATCCCACACTTAAACTCAATCTAATCCTTCCCACTGTCCAAAATAGGTCACTTCAAGATCCAAGGATAATTATAATGTAATCAAAGTACCTAATCATAAATGCCATTATCATCCTATCATGCTGATCACCTCCACCAAATCTTCTTCTTCTTCTTAACCCCAAACCCTTTAAAAACAAATTAGGGTCGGTGTAAAAAGAAGGTGCAAACCAATGGCAGTGTGCATTATACACACTCAAATCAACTGTGTGTATTCATGTCAGGAAATAATTTAAAGCACAGTAGTTGCAGCAGTGGTGGTATTGGAAGGGGAACAAAAAACACAAGAAATACAAACAACTTTTGGAAGGGAATCAATTATATCAACTACCCTGACCACTACAAAACTACAACACACAACCACTTAATATGATTCACAACATCATCTCTAACTACTACAGAACAATACTGAAGTGTCCTGCATGAGCTGCATGTTAACTAGGTATAGGATCCATGAATACAGATGAAGATGAAAAAAAAAAACAGAGGATCAAAAATTCTTTTTTTTTTTCCTTTATTGATGAATGATTGAGCAATGAACATTGATTTTTATCAATAACATCTTGATATCCCATCCTTCTTTCACTAACCCGGATTTAACTACCCACCAGACATACAATCACCCTCAAATGTCGCCTCCAATTTCTTTGTATGTATCATCATATGTACATGTACAGGACCTCATCTAAAAGATAACCAACCAGCCAAGCCACCAGATATGATGTTTCTTCCTAAACTTGCATCTACGGAACTTTGTAATCAATTGTACAATGAACTCACTATTTTCTATTCTCGAGAGCTGGGGGATTTCAGAAAATGGGGCCAAGATAGGCAAGAAGAAGGAAAAAAAAAATGGATGAGATATGAACCTAAAATTTCAAAAGTGAATGACTGGTTGAAGATCAAACCAGATCTGACCAATGAGGAACGAATGAAAAAATGAGAAAGGGCAAAAGAGAACTAAACTATCTTTCTTATGGTTCTTGCTTGGATTTGGCTGGCATGGCTTCTGATGAGATTATTATATTGCAGCTCTGCTATGTCTGCATGTTATGCTCCCGCGTATTGCATTGCAATCTCATTCTAGATACTGTCAGCCTTCACAAATGACTCCAAAACCTCAGGACTAGGACATACTATTTCCTTCACCATGTTACCCTTCTTATAGATCTTGATTGTAGGTCTAATCCTCACATTTTCAGCATCGGCAATTTCAGGGTTCTTTTCAGCATCAACCTTCAGACAAACATATTCAAGTCACAACAGGATACTTACTCCAGAACTACCATAAGAGGTCAGATATCAACGCGAAGTAAATGTGCCGCAAGATACATACCTTCAGAAAATTTATGGATGGATACTTGGCACACAATTTGTCCAAAACTGGAGATATCTGCTGGCATTCTTTGTTTGATGATGATAGAAAATGGACTACAGAAGCAGCTGCAGTATTTTGGTACAGAAGTTCAGTTTGTTATTAAAGGAAATATCATATCAGCACTCCAAACTTTTTATAAAGATAGTAGTACCAGAAGCTCACCAGGTGAGGCAATTTCAGCTCGGAAATGCTTCAAACCAGAAACTAACTCTACTTCCCCACCAAATTTTGCATTAGACACGTCTTCTCCCCGGGATTTTTTCAGTGCTAGTTGTGCCTGAAACAATGACTCCGCTATCTCTTTGTCATTGGGATGTGTTCTTCTCACGACCTCATAGTCTCTCACAGCTTCAGCCCAACGTTCAAGCTATAAGATGATATTCATGCAGGAGGTTAGACATGTTATAGTAGGGAAATTGCGTCATAAGGGGTTTTAGTGTTTCCAGAAGTTTACTTCTTGGCAATTTCTATAGAATTATTGTAATGAAAATAGGAAAGACTAAAGGTTCCCTAAGAAAAGTAGTCTCTGATAATGAATCAAGGCTATTATCTTTCCTATGTGATACATCCTTTCACAACTGTACACAAGCTAAAACAAATAGCAAAATGCATAGCTATTTCAGCACCAACCATATGAAAGAACTAACAGAAATTATTCAGAAAATACCTTGCAATTCGAGCGAGCCCTGCGAAGCAAAGCTTTGATGTAATTGGGCTGATATAGGAGAGCTTGGTCGCAGTCTTCCACAGCGCGTTCATATTGACAAAGCTTATCAAAGCATGCTGCTCTATTGCAATAGAGAACTGAATTTGAGGGATCACGGCTGAGACCTTCCCCATAGGCTGAGGAAGCTTCTGTATACCTCTCAGACTTGAATAAATCATTGCCACGTTTACGAGATTTGCTGACTGCCTTCACAACGCCAAGTAAGACAGAAACTTCAACATTACGGGCGTCAATCTGATTGGCTTGTTCAGCAGCAGTAATGGCATTTTCAAACCTGAAAGCATTTATCTTATCATTTACTGTAGATGGTACATGATTCTTAACTTTAGAGAATTTTGGGAGATACCTTCCCATTGCCAGCTCGATTTTAGCTCTTACAAGAAACAAATATGCCTCAGAATTAATTCCAAAGAATTTTGATTGGGAATTTGTAGAGTCCAATGTGTGAAGATTGGAAATGCTTGATATATAAGTATCAGGATCATGTAGCTTGCGCAGCTTCAAAAGAGCTTCTGCTTGACATGCCATTAGCTGCCAATTACATTCAACCAGTCTCAGTCATATAATTCACATTTGTTGAAGCAAAATGTAACCTAAACTAAATTTAGCCATTCCTTTACCTGAGGGCACTTATCAGCTCCGGCAGCCATTGCAGCTTCAGCTTCCCTGAATGTACTATTCCAATCATTATCTCTCCGGGCATTAGTGCATTTGGCCAGGTGCTTCTCAACAGCTTGCAACTTAAGCAATTCGGCAGCATCTGTCTGCTGCCCTGGCACACAAAGGTGCTTCCTGGCATCCTCAACCTGTCCTAAACTGTGATTATTACAGAAAATACGTAAGTGCTAGCCAAAGCAGGATGGACAAGGGTTCACAGAAACAACATAAACTAAAACAACCAGTAGGAACAAAGCAAAGTTAGAATTTATTCAATTACATCTACAAATGTGGTACTCCACTCAATGAGTGTTTGACACAACAATCCTTTACAGCTTTGGGAAGATGTTAAGCGGTTCCAAACTGTGAAGGTCCTCCCTCATAGTTTGACAAAAAAAAATAAAACATGCAGAACCAAGCATACTCGAGCAAAACTAGAATAACAAAAACCCATTGCATACTCCTGTAGCTCCTCCTTCCTCAATCAATGATTTATACAGCAAGCAAAACGTCCATCAGGTTACCTTATACCAACTCAAAGATCAAGAAATTGGCCCTCCATGCAAATAAAGTTTAGACTAAAAAGAACACAACGCATGTACAACAGACATCCAAGTTAAAAAGTATTACACCTCGTTTCAACAGAAATAACAGCTTACAAGTACTACATCACCAAGGCATTCAAAGTTTCAAACTACTAGATCCAGCAGTGGAAAGACGGACACCCATTTTCAACTTCGCACATCACCAACTTCAAACCACACGGATAATGTAATGACATCAGATTTTCAATCAATAAGAAATGCACAATGAACTATCAAAATTAAAAACACATCTATCTCTCAAGTATCAATCAAAGATCAAGCACATTGTGAATGGCTTCGAAATCACAACGCAGAAATGACAAATTCTTTTACCTATGATTGTTCCCAGTCAAAAATTGACACGGAACAACGATATATTCAAATCAAAGATCAAGATTTGAAGTCTCTTGCAGATTGAACTCACCTAAGAAGCAAAGATCCTAAGCGTTGGTGAGCCTTAAGATATCTTGGATCCAACCTAATTGCTTCTTCACATTCCCTTACTGCTTCCCCAAACCGCTTCAGACCAATCAATGCGGCAGCCCGGTTGTAATGGTACGGAGCGTTGGACGGTGAAATTGCAATGGCCCTATCATATAGTTTTAAAGCTTCCCTGTAGTTACCCCTTTTAAAATTGTCATTTCCTAATTGTTTCAACTCCTCTGGATCATCCCTACCACTACTCGATAATCCACTTCCACCGCGGCCGGTGGCGGCTCCGGTTCCCCTCGAATTTGTCGGCGGTGTGGGGGCATTAGTTTTACCATGAAATTTGGAGGTACCGGCCCGCATTATACTCCCGTGCCCATACTGCCCCCTGCCGGAACCCACAATGTCGGTCTTAACCGGAGGACTGGCCATGCCGGTTCTCAGAACCCCACCTAACGGACAAATATTGCCGGCGGGGAGATGTACAGGGGCTTGAGGAGAGGTGACGGAGGCGCTCCCACCGCCAACGCCGCTGGAGAAGGAATAAGAAGACTGGGACCCACCGGAGTGGGTCCTACGATGACTAGGCCTGCTGGACCCTCCGGCTGCCCCTCCTCTTGCCCCGGTGGGAGAACTCTCGGCGGAATGATGTGAATCAGACGACTTCTTGTTGACTGGGACTGGCGGCGCCATTCGACCCGAAACCGATCCGGAAGAACTGGAGCTGCTGCTCGTGGTGGTGGTGGTAGTAGTGGTGGTGGTGGCGGTAGTGGCGGTTAGGCCACTGCCACGAGACCTGAGCGGCGAAACCGGGGAACCCAGATCGGTTTCCCTAAAGTCCGGCTTGTCCCTCTCGTCTTTATCAAAGCTCAAGGAATGCCTCAGATGATCACTGAGAGATTCCGGCCGTTTTTCCGGCCCGGTTCTTTTCTCAGGATTCGACATTTCTCTCTATTAAGAAAAGAAGAAAAAAGAAAAAGAGAGGACAAGAAATGTTTATTTAGAACCCCCCTCTCACAATCTCTCTCTTCCAAGAACAAAGAATGCAGTTATAATCCCTTTGAACCCAAAACAAACTTGAGAGATGAATTAACCTAAAAGGTAGCAATGTGCAGCAGAAGAAATGCAGCAATGGAGGAGGAAATCGGGAGGCAGAAGGAGAAGAAATGAAATGGAAAAAGACATAAGTAATGTTAGAGAGAAAAAGAGGAGGAAAGGGGGGGAAAGAGATGGGGATCTCGTGAATCAAAAGGGTGAAGCAAAGAATGAATGTGAATGTGAAAATGTGAGAGAGAAAGCAAAGCCAAGCCAAAAATAAAAAACCACCTCCTTCTTCTTCTTCTTCTTCCTGACTTCCTCCCTTTTCTTCTTTTATATTTAATTTTTCTTAATTTTTTAGATTATGTAAATCCAGCAGAGCAGGCGGAGAAGAAGAAGAAGAAGTAGAAGAAAATGGGGGAAGTAAAAAAGAACAGCCGCAGTTAAAAAGAGTTTATTACTCTCTTTTGTTTTTTTTTTTAAGAGAGAGAAAGGGCAGTAATACTAGTACAGTAGTCGTAGTATTATTGCGTGAGAGAGAGAAACTCCAATTAACTCTCTTTTTTTTTTTTTTAATATTTCAAGAAATCAAGAAAGTCCAGCTTATTTTCTTTTTATTCCCGTATTTATTTATATATTTTGTTTCCACCAGTTTCACGAGACACACAAGTTTGCCTTCACTTCTTCTTCTCCTCTTCTCTATTAAAAAAAAAAAAAAATACTACTACTATGAACTTGTTTTTTTTATTTTTCTGCTTTTGTTTTTAGGGTAATTTTGATTTATCTTACCATTTACTATTTACTTCATCTTTTCTCTTTCTATTGACCTTTTTTTCGGTTTCTCTCACTGTCTCTCTCTCTTAAAATTAATATTCAGCCTTGTTTTGAGCAGCATCAATTTTCACAAAAGTGAGATAAAAGGATGTATAACATTCACCGCACTTGGACCCTTTTTTTTTTCTTTTTAACTGCTTGGACTTTGGTGTAGTATTTTTACCTTTTGTTTTCCAATTTGTTTACTCGTTATTTTCATGCAACTAAAATCCCGTAGTAAAGCCACGGAAGTACACTGTGTCATTGTGCAAAATTGGCTATGGTCAAATATGTAATCCGTGTAGTATTTCGATATATATCATTATATCTTTTCCTCAACGCAATTTCTAATTACACAAAAATTTGTTAAGTACTACATTCTCATTACCTACTCATATTACTATAATCTAAGGTAAATTAGGTATATAGTCGTCCATAAACCAAAGAACGTGTCTTTTTTCTTTTTATTTGTTTTTTTTTTTTTTTGGCAATTTTGGCCAGTATTTAATAATTTTGGAGGTCGATAGCCTATTTGTTTGCAGTATTGCTCTTTTTTTATAAATTATTAGGTGCACGGTAAACAATATTCCACTTCATACTAACATACGTACTATTTACTTGTGGTGACTTCATTTACTGTTTTTTCTTTTTATTATTTATTCATTACATTGCGGGGAAGGGTGAAAAACAACCAGGGATAAGTGATTTGATTGTTGTTAGCGAGCTAAAGTTTTCATATAGTAAAACGAAATGATATATTTTCCGTGTTTGTCAAGGTAACTTAATCGGACGCAATATTATTTGCAAACTATATATGCATATAGTAATACATTTTTTCCTTCAAAACTTGGCATATAATTACGTGCATGGTAATCCCTTTTAAAATATTTTACGCGTGATGATATTTTGACTCACTTTTTTTCGCTGTGTTTTGGTTGTATAAATATGTTTAAGCTAATGTCTCAAAAGTTATTATTTCTTATGTCTCAAAATAATTATTTTACTTATTGTGATAAATAGAATTAGAAGATAATTATTTTAGAATATAACGAATATTTATTTGAATTTGCCCAAAAAACTACAACCAACAAAATCTGATGGTTTACTGTTTACGCCAAAGAAAAAGACTATAATCATTTTAAAATAAGAATTTCTTTGTTGAATTATTAAAGTTCACAAAATCAAACTCTTTTTTTTTTTTTTCATTTCGAACAAATGGAGCAAAGCTATATATGTAATTTCACAAAGGAAATAATGTTTCATGTTTTTATTTTTTTCGGAGAGAGCTTCTTGCATTTCAAATTAAAAAACGTAACATCTGCAAATGAACACATGGTCAGTTACTTAATAACCTACGCGGATAATATGGTTGATTAGAATGGTTGTTTAAGTTTCAAAAATATTTCACTGTATTGGAGAAAAGATAACAAAAACGTAGTTTTCGAATTTTCAGTTTACTCGCATAAGATAATGTCTTGCGTGACTCGCAAGAATTCGAAAAATTCAAAGAATAAATCGTCAAAGTGAAGAGACGCCACACCCCAAATGAATAAATTAACCAAAAATTCTTCAAACTTTCTCTCAACGTCAATTCCAGATATCCAATTGAAGTCATTTTGTCGATCGATAAAATTAACGTGGCTAATTGATACACATTTCTCTCCATTTTTGCTACCACCAACCTCTTTAAAAGACGCATAAATTAACGTGGATATGTATTTTTTTGCAAGTCGAAACTACTTATAAATTAAGTGATTATTTTCATTTTCAAACCTCTATTACTTTTCACATTAATAACAGGTTATGCTCGTATTGACAAATATAAATTTTGTTATATAATATCAAATTTTAATCGTGTTTTCATGTCTCAATATCGCAACACTTTTACGTACACATAAGTGTGTCCTAGCTAACACTAATCAAACTTAACATTTAGGCTTTGTTGCCCTTTTTTTTTTCCTGGGTTATACGCCCTGGCTAGTTAGTTTATCGATTCCCTCTTGGTTCCAAGTCCGCGAAAATCTCTCTCCCTCTAAATCAAGTCTTTTGTAACGATTGCTTCTCTGAAGTTGGTCAACTTGGTCTCAAACTCAAATGAGAAGTTGTTTTTTGTTTTTTTGTTTCTCGTTTTTTTCTTTTTTAAAGTTGATTAATTCCAAGATTTACGCTGTTATCCTGTTGCGACTAATGCTATGTGAAAAAGTAACTTCTTGTCAAAGATATCTATAGTTTGAAGTTAAACGCATGATGAATAGATGAAAGAATGATTTTTATACACAGTACACGAACATAACTAATAAGTTTTATACATTTTTTGCATCCTAGAAATGGTAGCGAATTCGACGATGTGAAATTATTTTTTAAGACGGAGAGAGTTTATACAAAAATATACGATTATGAATTATATATATTAATTAACATATATCAACCATGCTTTAGATATCTTTATCAACGAAATATATTTACTTCAATGTCACGGCGAATTAAGGATTTTGGTTAAAACTTAAGGGAGGGACTTTGCCACTTGCAATATTATGAAGTTCTTTTCGCCGTGCTGGATTGTTGCAAATTAGGGTGTCACGTGAATAAATCCCGCCTAAAATTAGTTGACTTTCTCTATACACAATCTACGAAATTTGGGTGATATTAAATTTTTTTTTATTAGGGTTTATTATAAATATTATCCCTCCAATCTCTTCAAATGCTTTTTAAACAGCGATCCTTTATTAACACAAGCATTATGTTTTGCCACCCGCATTTCGTTAGATGAAGCTTCTTATTCCAATAATCATTTTTACTTTTTCACGTATACCGTTAGTTTATACTTTAAAACATTACGCAATACTCCCGTCCTATAATTATTGTCCAGTTTGGGTTTTCATTTCTAGTTCAAATTGTACTAAAAGTAAAATCTTAAACTGAACAATAATTTTGGTATAGAGGGAGTATATTTTTTCCGTCCTCATGATTCTTTTTCTTATCTAGAGCAAATATACAAGTGCTTGTAACCTAGGATTAATAAGTAAAAGCGGATCAATATATAGATATCAATGACTCAACTTATGTACTTTGGTTAAGGATGTTTGAAGAGTGTAGCTAGAAAAATGTGTACTATATTTATGCAAACTCACAACGGAGGCAATCAAATCTCAAAAAATTCAAATTGCGAAATTCCCAAAATGCCCATCGGAGGACTACATTTCCATTAATGCCTCCAATTTTCATTTGGGCTTTGATTCAAGAAAAAAAATGCGTCAAAACGAGGTGAAATTCCCACATGTTTTGCCTTCGATAAACTCGAAGAAAAAGCTACTAAAAAAAATGTCAACCTCAAGGACAACCAAGAAAGAAAGAGAAATCAATACGATAAATAAAGGCGTAGGAGGAGGGTGAATCCGTCAATTCAAAGGAGGAGTCTCCTAGACATTCAGTAGCTGGCCATGTGCACGAGATTGGGGCATGCCAACTGGCCCATTCAGGAGGTGGGTTTTTTACAGTGGCGTCCAACTAAGCAGATGACGGCGAGACGTAACGGCGTTTATCCCCCGTAATCCCAAAGGATATTCAAACTGTCTTTTACGGAATATTACGTTAATTATGACGACTCCCGATGGTGACAGCAGGGAAGAGTAGCCCCATATCCTGCCAGATCATCCGAAAACGTTACTACTACAAATTCATCGGCGCACGGAATCTGGTGTTGTGCGGTTCACCGCACCACAGTCCTACACCTTGCCACGTAAGACTCTGCCCGCCCACTCACTTTTTTTCTGTTACAGAAAATGTGGATAAACCCCATGGGTTCCTGGGTTTGGTTCGAAAACAAAAAAACAAGGAATGTGACTCTTCATTTTGTGAGTTCTTTTTTTCCTTTTTCAATCAATAAGTAAATATGATAAAAATAGTGGATAAATGTCATTTTAATTTTCGGGTGACTCAATGAGATAGGGTGATTGAAAGATTTTATCATACGTGATGAATTTTGTGCTTGACGGATAAAATTCAATTCATATTATTTATGTCACTTGACGCGTGTCATTTTAATCACCAAGTCATTTACGTATTGAATTCACTTTCTTCAAACATTTGTAGCT